GAGAAAGCCAGAATCCCATTCCACCCCAGTGTATTTAGGAGTTCATAGGGTTTTTTTCCTACATCAAATGCCAAATGGAAATGAGCAACAGTAGGGGAAAAAGGGAAGATAAGAGCTTTGATTGAGAATTAAAGTGGACACTGACGGTGGCTTCTGTCATTTCGGGTTCAGAGGTGCTCTCTGTTGGGCCCTCTTCACACAGAGCAGACTGAACATCAAGCTGAATGCTTGTGTCTGAGAGTTACCATAGATGTAACTTTCATTCCTGTGTAAAGCCACCCAGAGCCCCCAGAGTTTTTGAAAATCTTTCCAAAAGTTAGATCCCTTTTCTCTCTTCTCTGAAAGCTCAGCATTCAGTGGTCAGGATTGGAACTCCTGTGGTACCTCAGTTCTTCCTTCCCTCTGCACCAGCAACCTTGGAAATAGCAGCCAGTACAGAATTTACCTAGAGGTTACCACCACCAAATTGTACAAACAGGACACAACCACACTGGCACATCTCCTGGTTTCCTCATGGTCTTGCACTGGGATCCTGCCAGTGTTCCTAAGACCCGGCTTAGCTCTGTGTTCCTTGTGGGGCTTGCCACCAGCTTGCCAGACATTCTGGAACCCAGCCTTTGGCATTCATCACTCCCACCCACCATGCTTGACTGTAAGGTAAAATGAAGTAGAATTACATCTGACATTCTGTTTATGTGATTAACCTGTGCCTGTTTTGCTTTTTTATGTGTGAGAAGGCAATATTCTTTCTTAGATGGTGGAAGATGACTTCTGAGTTAGAGGTTCATCATTGAGACAAATACTACATCTTTCAATCTGAGGGTTACATCAGTTGATTCAACACAAAGCTGCCTCACCAGTCTGGCTTCATTCACAATGAGAAAAAAACACTGTTTATATTTTTCTTTTGTTCATTCTCTTTCTCCTCCTTGAAACCCTATATCTTCATCTTCATCTGTTGGCTAACCTATCTTCTCTGGGACACCTCATTTGTCGCCATCATCTTTTCTGTGTTGTATTTGCTCATGTACAAATTTAACTACTTCTGTTCTGTTTTGTCAGCTACAATTTGAAAAAGTAAGGCCTTGTTTCACTGAATGTTGTATGTACGTGGAGGAATACTGTCACAACTCCTAAGTACTTATGTGTGGTAGATTAAATAGACAGACAGAGATATAGATAGGCATCTACTTATTTATATAGTTTATGGTTACTTGAGATCTTAGATGATTTGGTTCATTCGTGTCAGGGAAAATTTGATTAAAGTGAAGTTAAGTACTTTCTCCTAAAGATTATGACTAGTGGTACACGTATAGCCAGAACAAGAGATTGGATGTCCTCATTTCTTGCCTTGTTAAGTTTCCACTTTTTGCTTTCTTGCCTGTGTTACATGGGCATTTACTGTGTGCCAGGCCCTCTGCCTGCTCCTCTCATGTGATGTTGATTGAGCCTGTCTTGAATCTGTGGTGAGGGAGGAAGACGCTAACAAACTTCACATAAATACGCATATACTAACAACTGAACTGAGCATGCTTAAGGGTTGTATAGTTTTTATGAGAGTAACGAATGGATGATTTCCCTCAGAAATTGTCTTGGACTTGTAGGATTTGGCATTATGCTTATATACATATAATTTAAATGCCATTAAATCAGACAAATATTTCTTGTATGCTCACCCTGCACAAATCCCCCAAAGAAATTAGAATTTGTCAGCCACAGCTCTTTCTATCAGTGTGTGGTCTGCAACAGGGATAAAGTTAAAACATAACTACTAACATCAGGAGAAGTCCCATGGATCAAAAGGTTCCAAGATTGCAGGGTTTTTTTGTTTGGAGAAGGAAATCAAGAAGAATTTATTACAAGATGACAAATGATCCAGCCCCTGAACAAGAGCTCTTGAACAAGGTTCAGAGAAGTGGAGAAAGCATTCTAGATCCAAGGAAAAAAGCAAAAATAGACCAAAATTGAAAATTACAGGAGTTTAGCAGTAACAGAAATTAACTTCCTTTTACAGAGACAGGTTTTTTTGTGTGTGTGTCAGGTTACTTTATACATCATGGAGAACATTGTGTTTATTTAAATGCCTTTAAAGCCTACCAGAAATGCAAATATCCTCATGTTCATACTTTTGAAGCACATAACTATGTATTGTTTGGTTGCTGGTTGCAGAAACTGTTGCATACTCCAACTCTAATGGTACCTAATAATTTCTTAATCGCTTGGCATCTCATAGAGGGCCAATACCTACTTTAATCACCAAAGTGAAAAGTGTTTGATGTGTGGAAAGTGTTTCACACAAAACATTGCTCTAGAATAAAAAACTGAACTCTTGGCAGCTGATGTGGGTGTGGTAGGCTGGTGAATATCAAATTCCTGAAAGGAACAGCTGCATACAGTAACCTGTGTCTCCACACCTGAAGCCAGTTCAGAAAGGGGTCTTCACTGTTTTTCCTGTACATAGAATAGTTTGTCTAAGTATTGTGGTAAAGCGTGAGGAGAGTGTTTACTCATCAGGGAACGTTAACCAGTTCCCTGCAGGCGGTGCTGCCTGCTGGGTTCAAGGTTCTGTGCTGGAGCTTGGCATCACCGCCAAGCTCACTAGGGGAGCAAGCAGAGTAGTGTCTTCTAGAACAAATGGGCAGAGGAATGGCCTTCAATCTGGTACTTTATATAGATTTGTATTATTTATTTTTAATTGAATATGTAATCTAAATGTAGCTTTTATACATTAAATATATATTTAAAGTTAAGATTTAAAGTTAAGGATATTTCAAAGAAAAAAGTTCTGAATTTTGGCCTCCCTGGAGGAAGTTGTGGGGGCGTGGCCACACAGTGGTCAGTCTCCCCCTAGCAGGAGCAGTTCTTAGGAGCTGCACAGCAGCTGCCCTCTTCAACTAGGGAGGCTGTTTCCCTAGTTGGTCAGTTTTGGCCTTGGCAAAGGCTCTTACTGGTATCATATCTGCTCATTGCTGTGGCTTCCTGGACCCAAAGCCAGCTAACAGCTCTCACTGGGGAATTGCTGCCGTCGTGGGCCCCTTTGGCCTCCCCCAGCCATTTGTGGACAGCGAGGTAGTCCACTTTAGTCACAGCAGCTCATTTCTGTGCTGCACTTTGTCATTTACGGTAGTTCCCAAATCGTCACATTCATCAGAATCATTTGGCCAACCCCTTCAAGTAGGGACTGCTGGGCCTCATTGCTAAAAATCAAGATTCAGTAGGCCTCAGCAGGGACAGTGAGTGGGTATTTACTTATAGCCAATTTCCAAGTGTCACTGGCACTACTGACTGAGAGCCACCTCTTGAGAACCACTGACAAACTGTACTGTAGTCTTTGCACCCAGCCACATGACTTTAGGGGTGTTATGTATGCTCTTCCTCACCAGAAATAACACTGTAAAGATTAAGCTCCTTACCCGAAGTCATAAGAAGTAGGCTCAGCTTCCAGACCATGACTGTAGAGGGAATCCAGTGAGAAACCACCCTGCATATGTCTGAGGACTCTGACTGAGAATTCTGCCAGCTGTGGTCTTTGTCCTGTCTTAGAAGGCAGAGTTAGAACTCAACCTTATCTATTGAGCAAGGGCAAGAAGGGAAGCATTGAAACTTGCTTCTGAGACATACCTGCTGAGGAAGGCAGAGTGGAGGGAGCCCTATCTGCTTGGAGATGGGCCGGCCTGTAGGCAGAGCAGGAGACCCGACCTGGAGCAACAAATGGAGCACAGCATCAAGCCTCTGGCTTTGCTTCCAACAGGCAGGTTTTAGACAAAACTGTGATTGCACTGTGACCTCTGGGGTGGGGTTCAGAGGCAGGACTCTGTGCTGCTGAGATTGCTGGTGGCTCACCAAGACGTTGGCTGGATTAGAGAAAGCAGTTACAGGAATACATTTTCCAAGATCAGGGTGCAGAATGGAGCTGGAGCTTGTTAGTAGATCTCATTATCATGGTTGCACAGAACTAATACGAAAGGGGATTTCTTAAGTCTCAAATGTGAGGAGCTTCTTAAAATCTGAAGTCAAAATTAGTCTATTGAAAAGGTGCTCTTCCTACTTACAGAATGTGAAGAAAGGTAAAGATTGCAATCCAGATTGTTCTTACAAAAATTTTGTCTGGTTAATACTCTGTGAAATGAGTGTTACTGTGTAGTATATTCAGTGAGAACTAATTTGATTGGGGCCATTAAATAGTGGTATAGTGTGCTCATCTGGGTATCTCTGTTTTGAGACAGGGTCTCACCCTGTGTCCAAGGCTTGCCTTGAACTCACTAATGTAATTCAGGCCAGTCTCAAATCCACGATCCTCCTGCCTTAGTCGCTGGAGGGCTCCAGTCACAGCCCCATGCCATCACATCTGGCAGAGAATAAATATTTTTAAAAATAAAAGTTTTAATGTTGTTGAATTTGTCTCAAACTTCTTGCTAAATCTGATATAATAAAATGTAGACCCTTTGTCATTCTTCAGTTTGATAATGTAGGTAGATAGAAGAGAGTATTTTTAGAATTGGGGTGCACAAGACTAGATTGGATATTGCAATTGTCAGATTGCATCATTAGTATTAACTGTTCTTCTGCAGGTTTTATACCCTGTCCTAAAAGTGAACTGTAAAAATGATCCTCATTAGTGGAGGATTCTGAGTTTCTCCTAAGATGGGCTACTGAGTGTGTTTGATTGTAGTAAACTATAAACACAGAAGGGCTAAGTATGTAACTACTAATAGTTTGGGGTTGTGATAATCACCTGAACACAGTGATATTTGTAGCACAATCCTGGTTCTAGTGGGATAGCAGAATGAGCTTTTTCCTCTGGGTTACCTCAGGTCAACTTTCAGCAGCCTTGAGGTTGCCTCATTGGCAGTCGGGGCAGGGTTTTCTCTGGGAGAAGCAAACACCATGGACCGGCTTGAGAAATGTCTATGAAGAAAATCACTTGAATGACCACACTGTAATTTGAAGCGTAATGGAGAGTTGTAAAACTGCTTCTGTTTTTGCTGTTCTTTAAACAGGCTCATGCACAGTTAGTTCGGGAAGTGGATGTGGAGAAGGTGTCTGCTTTTGAAAACCCCTACGTAGATGCAATAAAGAGTTTGTGGAATGATCCTGGAATCCAGGAATGCTATGACAGACGACGAGAGTATCAATTGTCTGACTCTACCAAATAGTGAGTATCCAGCCAGGAGTCCTTTTCCATCTTTCTCTTCACTTTGATGTTAATATGTTACACAGGCGTGGTGTTTAGGCCCACATCTGTAATCCTAGCATTCAGGAGGCTGAGGCAGGAGGATTGCTGTAAGTTTAAGGCCAGCCTGAACTGCATAGTGAAACCCTGTCTCAAAAAGACACCCCCCCCCCCGCAAAAAAGTGCTGCCCAATTATAACTTCTGCAGCTGTGCTGTGAAAACCAAACTTAAAAGTTATAACGTATAGCCCTGCTTCTGCCACACTCACAAATGTGAACTATATTATAGCAGACTGAAATCATGAGTCAGGGAAAATAGTTCTTCTATTGTTTTTATTGTTTGTTTGTTTTTATTTTGTTTTCTGTTTTAAAAATAAGCAGAAGAGTCTAGGAGTTTTTTCCCACCCTTTCTCCTCCCCCAGATCGCAAACCAGTGATTCCCAAACACATACACCATTGTAACTTGAAATCTGGTAATAAGAATTTTTATACAGATTGCGGTAAGACCTTACTCATGTGTGAGAAAACACCTTACACACATTAGAAATTGCAAATGAAAATATATTTGATTATGGCTTCCTAAAACACAAAACTTCTCAGTTGCCACTTTTCAGACCCAGAACCTCAACTGCTATTTTGAGAAGCACTATTATGTTGATGGATGGGTTTTCTTCTGCATTAAAATTGTGAGTCTAATTTTGCATTCATTCCAGAATTATTTTGTAAGCTGTCAGTCAGATTCACACATCCTGAGAAGATTTATGTCCTAAAAGGATCTATTGATTCTTTAGATCAAATCTTGCTTAACAGAAAGTAAATTTTGGCAGTCATTAGATTAATGTACTCAGTGTAGTCAGCAATCCAGATAATCAGGTGCCTAAAAAGTGATGGGGTTTAAAACAAATGTGGGACGTGTAGGGCTAGAACTTAGCCAGATTTCTGTCTCTATTAATTATGTTAAATCAGCGTTTACCTTGTTTTGGTTTTGGATAGATGGAAGAATGGGTGGAAAATATTCTGCAGCTGGAAGCTGGTTCATATGATAAGGTGAACCAGTAGGTGAGGGCAGAAACTTGGGGAAAAATGAACCCCAAGGTATCACTTAGTAATGCATCAGAGACCCAAGAGCTAGTGTTGCTTTTCCAGAAGCTACGATTTGGCCTTTCTGGCATTTGTATAAGTTAAGTTTTGATTCAGATGAGCCATAGATTGCTTCCTTCCTCCTCTGCCTGTCTGTTGCCTTTGCCGTTTCAGAACTCTCCCCCTTGATTCACCGTTGTTTTATCCATCCTCCCCTGTTCCTGCTCAGTATATCTTCACTTGTTTACTCCTGCACCTCATCTTTAATTTACTTCTCCTCAACTCTTTCACTTTGATACTGTGATACCTTTACTGATACTCCATTATAAAGTTACATTTTTAAATTCTTTGACCTCTTACTATTTTTCTCCTAACCTGTCTTTTTACAGTTATTTTAAATCCTTTCTCTACCCAACCCAAACTCTCCCATTCTTGAGTATTACCTGTAGTTATTACCTTTGTAGAGGGGTTTGCTAGTGGGGAACCAGTGCTCTGGTATCTAATAATACGTGCTTGCCGGAGTTAGGTTCCGTACTGAGGAATTGGTTTACTTCCTCTCCAGGGATGGATTCGCTGAGAAATTTCTTTGCACAAAAGTACCTGCCTGGCTACTGTAAAGATGTTCTTGAGATAATCCTCCAGTGACATTGCTCTCGGGCAGACTCACAGATTTATAGACGTGCACAAACTGGATGTTGCTTTAGGGCAGAGGGTTACCCTGGATGTCTCTAGGTCTTTGTCAGGCTGTTACTCTCAGAGTCATCATTGGAGGATTCTGCCAGCACAGGGCAAATCCATCCTAGAAATAGGCCTGCTTGTTGAGCACATTCTTCATGATAGATCCAGATATGAGGTGGTGCATGTGACCCAGGCTGATCTAAACTCTCAAGTAATTATTTTTTAAATAGTTCATCTCTTCCCTAGTGGAATAGAGAGAAGTCAATTTCCTGAATTTCTTATATGTAGACATATACTCCTTCAGTATGTGCATACAACTAATTCTTTAGCCATATTTTTATTGCTGAAGTAGTGTTGTAACTTGTCCTTATATAGGCTTAGACATTTCACTGTATATGTTTTTATAAAAATGGGCCAGGCATGATGGTGCACTCCTGTAAGCCTAGCATTTGTGGGGCTGAGGCAGGAGGATCGTTGCAAATTCGAGACCAGCCTGGGCTACAAAGTGAGCCCAAGGCCAGCCTGAACCACATAGTCAGACCCTGTATCAAAAAGACCAAAAAAAAAAAAAAAAAAAAAAAAAAAGTACCTAAAATGAATTAATCAGAGGTCAGAGCTATAGCTTAGTGGCATAGTGCCTGCCTGGCAAGTGTGAGGTCCTGAGTTCAATTCCGGTACCCAAAAAATATAAAATAAAATTCATAAGCAGTTCTCCTTATTCTATACGCAGCTCATATTCAGATTTCTCAAATTCTTCCTAAATGTCCTTTAAAGGTGGTTGATTTTTAGGACTGTACATTAACTCTGGTTGTTGTGTTTCTTAAGGCTCTTCTACTTGAGACTTGTTTTATATTTTAGTGGCTGAAGAGATTGGCCTAGATTTGCCTGATTACTTCATAGTACTCCTCTAGTCCACAGATTTATTGTAAACTGGGAATTTCATTAAATACTAGATTTCATTCAGGTTAAACATTGAGACTGGGAAGCATTGTATGTGATCCCCAGCTTACCCATCACTGGTATGAGAATAGTGGCAAAGCTATATTTTTTTTCTTTTGAGGCATTGTTTTGTCACTCTTAGGTTCCCAAGCAGCTTTTCACCTGATGCTTTTAATTCTAGTTGATGATCCTGGCCTGTTTGACTAGGGTTTGGTAAGAATGGTCTTCCACCTGCATCACTTGATTTGTGTAGCTGTTCTTCTGTGAAATAGAAGGAGCTATATATTTCCTAATGGAGAGATGTGTGTTCTGGTCTTTTAAGATCAGTAATTTGTTGTGTGGACAAAATAAAAAGATGGTAGTGGTAGTAACTGGTTATCCAAGCCAGCACATTTTGAGACAGAAGCAGGGCTGTAACAATGCAGTGGGGATCCTGGGAGCAGGCCAGGGCATTCGGGTCACCTTAGCTAAATGAAGTCTGTGAAGACTAGTTGGTGGGTTGGTTTCCTTTTTTTTTTTTTTTTTTTTTTTTTGTCTTTTTCATTTTTATCGAGCTCAACCAGGGATCGAGCTCATGACCGCACACTTGCAAGGAAGGTGCTTATGCCACTGAGCTAAATCCCCAGCCCCGGTGGGTTGGTTTCCTTCTTTTTCTCTGGAACAGTGTATTTCAAGAAGGGTAGAATCTTACGGGGTAGCATGTAGACACCGTCAGTCAGCTGCCCTATTTCTGAGCTCCTCCAAGTATGATGCAGCATCCTTGATAGGCCAGGCCCAGGTGTTCTGGCCCAGTCCTGGCCTTAGTCCTGCCCGTACCAGGTGGCCTGGGAAGGAGAGTGATCTTACTTTTCCTGATGTAAATTCTGGAGACATTAGCTTCTCTCCTGCCTGGTTACCTTCTCAACACAGAGACAGGCCCTGCAGTGCCTCCGATCACCAGGCCTGTGGAGTGCCAAGGTTTCTCCAGGATGGTCACAGCAGACGTCCTGTGAACCGTGGAGATGGCTGGTGAAGATACTGAAGCTCACTGATTCCCGGCACGGCCCTGTTGTCATAGAATAACTCATAATAATTCCTCTCTCTATTCAAGACAGCTTTCACTCCTTTTCCTTTTTGACATTGTTGTATGTGTTTCCCTGTGGATCTTGAGTATTTATTGTTCTCTTTTCCTTCATAAGTTTTCATGTCACTGTTTTGTCTTTTAAATAAAAATATACTTCAATGATATTTTGGATCTGATTCTTTTTTTTTTTTTTTCTCACCTTGCTTTGGATCTTACCTCTTACTCAGTCTTACTGACCTACAGTAATCTTTCTGTACTCCAGATAAACTTCTGAGTACTGACCATAAAAGCTGTTCTTTAGTTTAGGTTTAGAGGATGTATACATACCAAATTTTGACTTCACAAATAATCCACGAAATAATGAATGGCTGATTCCCACTTTTTCTGTGAACTTTAACCAGGATAGATGAATGAGGAATTTTCAGAGCCTCATTCAGGGTTGCTTTTTTCTAGTTTAAAAAAAAAAGTCACATAGCAGGAAAGATACAGGTTATTAATCAGTGTTGTCTCTAGGTAGTTTGGTTGTTTCCAAGGTTGAGGGGAACTATTATATCATATTTCCTGGAAGACAAACTATATCATCATCATCCGAACTTAGCCACGTTTAGCTAAGTGCCAGTTATTCATATTAACACAGAAGATGTTCCACGCCTCAGGTAACTCAGAAGTGTTAGTTCTGAATCGTAGCCTCAGTCCTTAGGGCACTCCCTCCTTCCCCCCCATTGCCTCTTTTATTGGAGCCAGTATGAAGGATACAGTAAATGATTTGAATTTCCCTACTTTGTTTTGATTAGGCAAGTTGCTAGCAAAATATGCAATCACATGACTCAAAGGACAAGCAGCACTGTCAGAAACAAAGATATGAGAAAATGCAGACAAAGAATAAACAGTTTGGGATAAATTTGCAGTTAGCTTTAATTTGGTACATTCTTCCAAATCTATATAATGAAGAAGATCCTAGAGAGTTTGTAGGTTTCTTTATTAATTTTCTTATCAATTAAAAAGCCCAAAGACTTCTTGTATCTTTAGATAAAGAGCACAATAAGCAGATGGTAGTAGGTTTTTCTTTTTTCAGGGCTCATCACCTGTTTTAGTATACTGAGACAGCAGGTCAAATGAGTTCGTAGCCTGCAGTACCAGAAGCTCCCTGATTTCAGCCAGAGAACATGTACATTGTCATACATTTTTTAGTCTCCACACTAGGTTTTGTCTGAAGACTGCC